CGAGTAGGTTTATTTTGAAGGCATAAGTAATACATGTGATTTATTTTACCATTTGCACAGGGGAAAGCCTACCCAATAAGTAGCTGTAAATCAGTTCAGTTTTGCGTAGAAACTATTCCACCACCATAGGGGTGGTGGAAATAATTGTGACAATTATTAAATAACATCTGGCCTAGAATGGGGTATGGAAATGAAAAAAACTAAAGAGTTCTGAACAGATTTCCCAGTTAGGTGACTCAGTGTCCACAGCATCTTCTACTTGCTTTTTTAACTTTGTTCGTGAACAACTCCAGAGTTCTTTCCAGTGTGTGTCACGCACCACATGTTTTATTCACATTCCAGGTATCCCACACTTGTTTGTGCAGAGTCAAAAGCTAAGGGTTTGTGTTTTTTTTTTTTTATTTTCTCTTTCTCCCTGTGTAAGTGCTTTTTTTCCGGTGACTGCCTGCTGAGAGTTTTTGGCATTCAAGATGACTTTTTTGGGGGACAATTGAGTAAGATCATCGTGTTTTATTTGCATTTGGATGGCCAAGTCTACATGGAGGTTACCTTTTGTTACAAAGCTCTACACCGCAGACAACGACAAAACCCGGGATGGTTTCTTGGAGATTTCCAAATGCTTACGGCAGCGTTACGAGGATCTTAATTGCTCTACCTTTCTTCCGTTTGCCTTGAAAAATCAGCCTTTTCTCTCTTAACCTTGTGGGTTTTTTAAAAAAAAAAAAAAGTTGAAGCTAACTTTCAGACTTTTTGAACCTGCTTTGCCAAGTGTTTTTCCTTTTTCTTCCTTTTTCCAGCTGGCTGCATCTTCCGGTCTGATAACCATGGATAAAGGGTCATTTCTCTATGTTAGAATACAGCTAATGTGGAAGTAAAGCTCATGCAACGCAGTGCCACTTTTTTTGTGGCACTCTGCAGTGGGCCATCCATGAGCATGCTTTGGAAAGGATTAGTCTTTGGCTTTGTCTAGATATATGTGAACCGGATGTGAGTCAGCTACTGAGGTAGGGCAAAACTCTCATCTCAATTCTCTTTTTCCATGCCAGCATAAGTCATAAGTAATTCCTTGAGCATAATAAAATAAGACAGGTTTTATCCCAATGTAAATGAAAGAAGATGCCAAGTTCTTGGTGTAAATATACAAAAACTTGTAAAATTCCTTTTCTTGACGTACATCTTACTCTAGCCTTGAAGAAAACATTTTTTGCCTCTTCATTCACTACAATCATTCTAACTATTTTCCTTTTAGTGTGAAAATACGGGGATGCTAGTAAGTCCGCATTTGAGAAAACTTATCATCCTACTTTCAAAGTGAAATAACATTGCAATTTGCTAGCATGAAACTATTGACTTGAGTAGGGGTGGAATGCTCTCAAACCTTGTAAAACTATGCCAGTGTTCCTTTCTTAAGAGATTTTTAGAGGGGTGCTAGAAAGAAACCCACCTCAAGGTCAGAGCCAAAAATCGCTGACTCCAGCTGTGGCTGCAGTAGATGTTGTCAGAGGTGGTCACAGGTGTTTGTAGAGGCTTGACTCCTATTCAGAGCAATGAGAGAACATATCTTTGGACATGTCAAAAAAGGAAGGATCATGTCCATGTCCTGTGTTTTGCTAGCTTGATAAATTCAGATTTAAACTTGTCATTATGCTTCCAAACACTGTCATTGCTTCTCCTGAGATTGTTTCACTTTCTGGCACATTGGTGGACTGAGCTTGGGCACAGCGGTCGTAATTATTTTTCTTTTTCAAAACAGTTAAGCCACAGAACATTGTGCAGTTTTCCTCCTGGCAACTGTTTTTTTCCATAGTGCCAGGACATTTTTGAGCTCTTCTCACTTTCTCTTGGCCAGGATGCAAATAGCAACCCTTTGCTTTGTAGGTCACAGATCACATTTATCACTGGAAGGCTTAAAAATTCAAGAGGAAGCTTCATGAACCACAAGCTTCAACATACTGACCTTGGTCAGCTGGTCTATAATGCTTCTGGGATTTGAATACTCTCTGTGCTAATTTGCGGCCTTTTGTCAAAACAATAGACAGTTTAGAACAGCTCAGATGATTGTGGATTATTTTTCATGTCAGCTTTGACCTCTTTGGAACACTGTACTAGCTATGCATGTTACCCAACTCTACAAATAAGGAGGGAATGAGAATACAGATAATCAGAATAATCCCCCTGTCCTCCTTCTTGTTCCGTGTTTTTAGGATGTGTTCAGTAATGTTTACCTTATTCTCAAATGCAAGGTGTGTCACTTCCCAATCTGGAGGATACTTAAGAGCAAATTGAGTCTCCCTGTATCCTGTTTTGCTCCAAGGCTATTTCTGCTGTGTGTTGACTCACACAGGAGACTTGAAGAAAAGCTATAAGCCATCTGATTATTTCTATAATTTGATCAAGTGTTTTCTCCCTTACTTCATATTCAAAAAACAACAAATGTGAAAATAAAGAAAAACTGCCGCCTAAAAATAACCTCCAAAATTGCCTGGCATGTACCCGGTTACAGGGTAGTCCCGCAGTATTCATATTATGTTTACAACATGAATATTTAAGTTTATCATTTTATAACTATTCTATATTGTATTTTCTGATATTCTCTGCAAATGTGATAATATCTTGTCCCAGGGTGCTTAAAATCTATGCTGTGGTGTGAATATAGAATTACAAGCTGATATATGTTTCTTAAATACTGGTTACTGCAAATAGTATTCCCATTCTGACTTGTGCAAATTGTCTTTCTGAAATGAAAGAGAATTATACAGCTAATTAAGATATTGCCATTCATAGAATCATAGAAACATAGAACGGTTTAGGTTGGAAGGGACCTCAAAGATCATCTAGTTCCAACCCCCCTGCCATGGGCAGGGACACCTTCCACTAGATCATGTTGCTCAAAGCCCCATCCAACCTGGCCTTGAACACTTCCAGGGATGGGACCTCCACAACTTCCCTTGGCAATTTGTTCCAGTGCCTCAACACCCTCAGAGTGATTTTTTTTTTCCTAATATCTAATCTAAATCTACCCTCTTCCAGTTTGAAACCATTACCCCTTGTTCTATCACTACATGCCCTTGTAAAAAGTTGCTCTCCAGCCTTCTTGTAGGGGGGCCTGCAAGATAGGGCCTTCAGATACTGGAAGGCTGCTATAATATATATATTCGAGTCACTTTGTCATGATTCACCTTGTCTTGTTTGGTACACAGTCTGTTGCTTATGACAGCCTGAAAAATGCCAGGTGTAGGAGCTGTACTCCTTTCCCAGAAGAATCTTGAAATTTCCCTCACTTTTTCGCTGGTTCTCCAAGTTGTGTCATCCCCTTATACTGAAGATAATGTTGTTTGTGTATCACCTTAAAGTGCTTTTGTTCTGTTTTCGTTTTTATGATTGCATTTGACCTTACTAAAGGGTAAGCGAGGTTGGTTAGACATAATCGAATATAGACACCCATGTAAAGCAACACTGAAATAGGCATGACTGCACTGCCCCTTTCCTATGTGAGAGTCTAGGAATCTGAAGTTAGCTGCCATTGTGATAATGTGAGAACAGCAGGAACTGTAGTAATTAAAAAAACCCACTGTATATAAATAAAAAACAAAGACCCTGGCTCTGTTCATCTGAGCTGGAAACTTGACTGTGGAGGATTGTCTCATTGTCCTATGGCTCTCTGCCTTGGGCGCACTCTCCTACGGCAGGAGAAACCTGCCCCTGAGACCTAGTTTCTGGAGTAGAAAATTCCGGTTTTGCTCATGCTGCTGAAAAGACTTGAGCTCAACTCTACTGACATGGTGTTTGTCACTAAATTCTGTCAGAATAGAATTATGTCTCTTAAAAGATATTCTGTGCCTCCAAAAATCTCATTTAACCATTTTAATTAGTAATAGTGTAAATCTGGGGTGCTAAGCTTAGGCAAAACTTTCCTAGTTTGAGTGAGTTCAGAATCAATCTCAAAGGGGGATTGTCCTTGGCATTTATGAGGAACAAGTCTTGTCTTTCTTTTATTAGACATGTTATTTTGAAATTCATTCTGTTCTTTCTACCACCACACCGTGAATGTATGTCTCCCTGATTCAAATACGATGTCATGCCCTGAGTGCTTTCTGTGTAGCTGCTTTCTGTCCAGCGTTCCTCCATCTTATTCTCTAGCTTGTGAAATGTTTCTAAGTGTGTTGTGTTTTATCTAAATTTAGTCTCATTTTAATGGTGGTGAGTTTTTGAGCTCTCTGAAGCTCTTGGTGTTTTGCAATATTTGTAATCACTCCTACCAGTACTTTGGGATGATCAGTGAGTTTCATCTATGGTTAGTTTACTTTTTGCAATGTGATTCATGAAAATGTTGGGCTGAGTCCTAGCACATATTTATTAAGATCTACAATGAACTGTTCCTCAGAGCACAAACCGTTTTTTCCAAACCAGCTGTCCAGAGAATGTTAATTTGTCAAAAATATTTATTCTTTCTGAAAAGCCAGTGCTAAGTATGCAAGTAAACCTTCCTGGTTTAGCAGAAATTCAAGATTACTAGTCTTTCAAGATATCAGATGATGTCAGTATGTTCCCATGGGTGTAATTTCCATGACTTTTACCAATTGGACCCAGGAGAACTACAGAGGCAAAGAATGATGGCTTATCTAGACACTATTTTGAAGAGCTGAATCCTTTCCAGTGTTTACTGATAAATATTTGATTGAAATTCTGGTACTCTTGGTGGAAGTAAGAGATATTTTGCTGACTTCATTTAAGAGATGCAAAAGCCTCAGTCTTTCTTGAGCAGATATTATGTATTATAATAACACAGCACTGTCTTTAACTTCTCAGAATGGAGAATCCCAAACCGTCCAGATCACCCCCTTCCTTTAGGGGATCTAACTTCAAGATACTCAGGTTTTTCATCCATGTCTTTGACAATTTGTATTTTAATTTTCAGGCATTGTTAAGAAGCTGTTAAACACATTTGAAAATTATACCTTTGACACATGCCTTTTTTTTTTTCCTCTCTTCTTTTTCAGAAAGTATTTTGGAGAAAAGATAGGACTTTATTTTGCATGGCTGGGTTTATATACAGAATTCCTCATTCCAGCTTCAGTAGTTGGGATTATTGTATTTCTTTATGGATGTATAACCATTGAGAGCGACATTCCAAGGTAAGCTTCTCTGTGATCAATAATTTGTTTCTTGAAAATTATAAGACTGTGCTTTTTGTTCATAATCCTTAGTGAGAATAATTGCTTTTAACATAACTGAAGCGCTGTGATGTATCATTAACAACCCTGCAAGCATTAGAAATACACATGCATTGAGTAGATAAGACATTTGAATGACACTTTTATCTGGCTGTTCAGTATTGCAGCTCCTGAAATAGAAATGTTCTGTGAGTATACTGCATTATTGTAAGTTCTTTTTTATGACATTCACTTGCTTTTTATGGATGCACACATCTCCATGCTTACCCAGAAAGACATCTTGCAGAACTCACTGCAATGCAAATACACTGTCAAGTACTCTTGGATTACTTTTTACTTCTTAGTATAATCAGGCTATTTGCACAAGTAAGATGAACAATAGCAGACTTAGCACACTTGATAACCACAATATTCTCCTTCTTGACAGTTGCAAAAAAAATGTTGAGTTTTGTGCTCTGTGTCCTGAAGGTGTTATACTAAAGAAAAACTGCCAAATTAACACAGTGATGTTAATATCTGCTTCTTAGTGTCCTAAAAAAGGACACTTCCCCTGTTACCTGTGTCTGACGTCTGGTAGAGACAGGATACTGGATTACTAGTACTTGTTGTGGCAGTTTCTGCATTCTCTCAAATGAATTGGCAGCATTTGAAGAGGATCACTGCAGTAGGACTATATTACTGATAGGTTGATGATGAATAACAGCACATTTGACTCAGGACTTGTTTTCTTAGCTTGATCAGGATGAATCTTGATGTGCGGTGCTTGTCTGTGGGAAAGCTTGTGCTAACATTTAAACTTAAGTGAGATTTATGGCTAAGATGTATCTGCAGCACCCTCTACTGCCTTTTGAAACAGAAGAGAGCATTACTTTAACGATGTGATAGGTGGAATCAGCTGTATGCCTTTCAAATGATACAATATTAAACATGTTGATACTACAGTTTGATAGTCTTTTTTTCATTTGAAGTCATCGAGAAAATGCTGTTTAATGATGGTGAATATAGGAACAGTCATCATCACCACAATATACCAGCAGTCAATGAAGCAATGTTGCAAGTCTTTCCATAGCTCACAATCCTGGCAAGGACACTAGAGCTTTGCACTACTCAGTTCACTTGAGTAAGACTGTGCGGGTGTGAAGGTCTTCCACACACAAACCTTATGAAAAAAACTGAAAGCATACTAAGCAGTGTCAAGTAGGGTTTGGCTTGTTAAAGAGATAGTGATAATGATAATGATTTTAAAAAGATTTTTAGATACTGACGTAAATACATAGAAAATAAGGCTATGAATTAAAATAACAACTTTAAAGTAAAGATTTAAAAATCTGTAAGAAAGTCTCTTATCTCATGTTTTCCAGAGGACAGCTGAACAAACACTGTAAACTGAGGGAAAGGAAATACAACTTAACATCTGAATATGAGGCAGAAGTGGAAGCTTTCTAGTTTTTATAAGATTTAGTGCTGGGAGGAGGAGGGGGCTTTTTTTCTATTCTTTTTTTTTTCTTTTTGAAAATCAGGTTAGAACTCTGTACTAGAAAAACAAGGAGCTATGGAGACCAAGAATACCATATCCATATTCAGCAGGCAAACTTGAGAACTCTGAAATGTAAAGGTATCTGATTTCCTGAAACTACCATGCACACAGTATCTGAACACCCTTAAAACATATCAGCAATGGTGCCTAAAAAAGTTGCTCACACTTGAACTTAGCCAAACCCCTATGGCAGATGGTGGTACAGACCAGAATTGGTGTTGAAATTGTATGTTGGGAAAACATCAATTGCTTTTATAAATACACCACAAAATAAAATGCATGGTAGAGGTGAATCGGAAAGTAAACGTTGTGAAATAGAAAATCCTTGCTAAGGAATAAGACTCTTGGCTGGTGTATGTCTTTTAAATTTAGTACACATATGTCAGTTTATACCAGAACCTAGCATATCTTGCAAATGGTGTTGCAGATTTATTCTGTTTGTAACACAGACAAACCAAGATGCCTGCGTGCTGGTTTTGGTTTTTATGCATACTTACACGGCCAGTCCCGATACATAAATTAGCATGTATTTGACATGGATTTTTGTGCCACCGTGTTAAAAAAGTGTATCTTGTCAAGGGCACAGAATTTCCTTTATGGCCACTTCAGAGTTCTTTTTCATGAGTTTAAATCTGATCTGAATCAAATCATGTAAATGAGTGAAGAGATGGAAAATTCCACTTTGACTGTGTTTAAATTATTTTCTTTTAGTGTGGTTAACCTCAGTCTTCAGTGATGCAGTCTTTGCTAGTTCACTAATACAGTGCAGTGATAAGATTGGTTGCTGTGTTGCATTGTTTTTCTGTTGGTAAGGTGCCTATAAGTATTTTAAAGTTCCAGAGAATGGCAACATGCCTTGAAGAGACACACAGCTCCTGTTCTCTGCAAGTGCAAGCCACACATGTTGCAAATTGCTTGCAATGGCTATGATGTGCTGCTTGATATCACTACTGTACATCCCCCTTTTCTGAGACGTAATACTCTAAGAATTTGCGCACTTGTCATTCATAGTAAAGAAATGTGCGACCAACGCAATGCCTTCACCATGTGCCCCCTATGTGACAAGTTCTGTGATTACTGGAACCTCAGCTCTGCTTGTGCTACCGCTCGAGCTAGCCACTTATTTGACAACCCTGCCACAGTCTTCTTCTCCATCTTTATGGCTCTCTGGGGTGAGTATTCCTTCGCATGTTAACACTGTCGTTTGATCTTTGGACTCCTGACAGAAATGAAAGCTGCGATGCACAGTAGTAGCATGTAGCAGCCTTACATATAATAAAGTGCTATTAGACTGAATGTGATACCTGTGGCTTTACGAAGCTGGCAAGCCTCCAAGGGCCAGTAAGGGGCTCTCTGGGCTGAGACCGGACAAAGCAATATTACAAGGCTTTCCGCTGTCAACAGCAAGCTTTGGAATAAATGGAGAGGGGTTGGGTAGTTCAGGGAAGAAAAATGGGTCCTTTCTCCCTCTACTGCCTAGTTTAATGGCACTTCTAACCTTTGCTATGTTTTTCTTGATTTTTCTTCATTTTCTATTGACATCACAAGTCCCTTGAACACCTTCTGCATTTGGGGCCAGAATGTATTTGGTGATTGGTATGGTGCAGGCAGCTGAAAGGGTTTAATTTAAGCATAGAGTACACCTCCATGTGGGACAGCTTAGTCACATAATTTTATCAAAACTTTATGGGATTCCAAGAACAATGGGACTATTATCGTTTTAATTATAATATGGTCTGAAATATTCAATTTAAACAAGCTTGGGTGTCTTTAATGGCAAGTATACCCTGTCTCACTGAGGATATCAAAACACTTCATAAACTCTAATGAATGCATTGTACTATTGTTCTTATTGTTTCTGGCTTCACCTCTGCCCTGAAAAGTGTGTGTACTGTGCTTGTGTGTATTATTGCTGGTGTTATGCCTTCACTCACTCTAGATCTTTTTTTATTGTGACAGTTAAAAGTGTTATTGCTACTGTAAAATGTTTTTTCATTTCCCGATTCATTGTTCACAAAATGAATTCTTCATTCCTGTTATGAGATTAAGCAAATATATTATTGTATCATAGCCATCCCTTAACAATCAGTGTGTTATACTTTGCAGACCTATTAAAATTCTACAGCTTGTTTTAGGAATAACTGATTGGTAGCTTGGTGTTGGGTATGGATAACATAGGTTTTTGAAGGAACTTGCAAACAAACAGATCACGGAAGTAAATTTTTGTTTAGCAGTTCCTGGAAACCCTTCAGCAGAAGTTAGAGAATATGTAAGCCCTATGACTAAGAGAAATGGCAAAAGATGATGAAATTGTATACTCTCACGATGAGACTTAATTTCCAACTTCAGATTGCTGACAATTACAGAGTAGTCTGGCAGCTTAGATGTCACAGTTTACCTGCTGCCATGAAGCATGCAATACACTGCCTTGTCCAAGTTTCAGTGTAGCTGTTTGGACAGCATATGTATGAATGACAATTCATTTACTCTTTCATAGGTAAATAGTATTTTCCTGACAGAGAATCTGTACCGTAAACTTGCATCCATCCAAATGATCGTTTCCATGCAACCTCATCCAAAACAATTATATTTTAGTATCAGCAATGCAATGTGCAAAGCAAAATATTGATGTATTCTTGCACTAAGATAAATTAGTAGAATCTGTAAAGTAACAGAAGGGAATAAAAAGTTCCATATGCATTGCTTTTAAAAAAAGGCATGTAAGAATAAAAAAATTATTTCTTAGCTGTATCCCTCCTCCAAAAAATATTTCCCACAGATTGGAAAAGTCTGTTCTGGGGACCATGATAACTGAGTTTGTCAGTGCAAGAAAATACACCCATCATATGAAAAGAACAGCAAAGTGAAATAAAGTATGTTTTACTAACTCTGCCCAGCTTGCCTATTAAGTATTAGATTACACCAAATTTTGCTGCCTTATTACTAAAAGATTGTATTTAGAGCTCATTCTGCTGAATGACAGATCTTATTCACAAGCCTAATGAGCTTGCCTCACAGTATCTTGAGTAAATATTGCCTGAATGCTTTTTCATAGCCTACAGTATAGTGATGTGGAAATTTGCATGTCTTATAATTTACAATCGTATACTTAAAAGAGCAAAGTATGGCAATTTGAGCTGGCTTCATTTCATGATGGTGTTGGGCACAGAAGTCTTTCATCCTGCTTGCCTTCTCCCATTCTGTGGAAGGCAGATGACTTACTATGGCTAATATCTTGAAAGGAATCAGGCTTTTACTAGCTGATCTTGATGCCTCATAAAGTATCTTTGTGATTCCAGCAATACTGTTTGCAAAGGACCATATTCACAAAAGATGGAGTACATGCCTAATGTCACTGGTGTTCTGGGATGCTGAATTTCAGCTGTCAGATGCATTTCTTAGAAGGACAGTTGAATATAACGGGACTGGTTTTCTGCTAGTGTAAGTCAGTGCAAACTTGCTGATTTCAGAACAGCTACTGCATCTAGCCAAATAAGTTCTTACAGAGCTAAATGTGGAACTGACTTTTTGAAGAACAGGAAAAAAGGGAATGAGTAATAGCACCCTATAAAATAACAAAATGTTTTTGTATTTAGGATATCTAAAACCCTTTAGTTTTCAAAACATGCTAAATATGGCTTTTGTAAGTCCTGTCCTCTGTAAGGCAGGAGCAGAGATAGCAACTTAATTACTTAATATCTGGATTTACTTTCAGTGTACTGCCAGTCCTGTGTTTAAATGATATTTTTTTTCTTGCATTATGGGAGGATACCTATGCAGAAAATACTTGCAGCTAACTGTTGGAATAGATTCTGTCTTTTAAGAGTCAGGCTATTTTAATAGTAGTCTAACTTTTCCCAGTGCTATCTTACAGCTCACACCAAGTGTAGATGCAATCAAAGGAAGCTGGATCTAATGCTGTTGTGTGTCTTGTGGAGCTATCTGCAAGATTTTCAAAGGGATGTAAATACTGCTGTGATCTAATAGTGTTTTTACAATCCCCTTTTCACCAACTGAAAAGGTGAAGTGAAGCATAAGAAAATGGAAAACAGTGCCTACAGTTGGGCTCATAGGTATAGCACATAGGTATAGCTTTTGTTGGTATAGTGGGTGGTTTTAGTTGGTATATATTGGTTTAGTATTGATGTAGTCATCTGAAAATACGTGTCCACAAGTCAAGAGTAAGAAGTGCTACTTCTAGTAAATACGTAAGTCCAGAACTCATGAGTAGCTAGGCAAAGCGCTATCTAGAGGAAACAGCAATTATGAGAGGAAGGTTCGGAGACTGTAAATATGAAACAACAGTACAAAAACTCTTCCTTCATATTAATAAAAAAGGAAAAGCAGGAGACTGAACTACTGGCCAGTCCTTTAGAACAAAATTGCTGTGTCTATGCAGGAGAAAAACATTCGACTTACCACTGTAATATATTCCAAAAGAACATTATTTTCTACGTATTATTGAAGGTCTTAGTTTACATATAGGTATTGATGATTTATTTCAGTAGCAGGCTACACCTACCTTCTTCACATTTTTCTGACTGATTAGAAACACTGAAACAGCAAAATCTCTTTGGCCAGTTAGCGTGTTATACAGATTAACTCTTAGACCTAGATTTTCTTCATTATATGCTTTGTACTCATGAATTATAGAATGACTCATGGTAACTTAAGAGAGATGATGTTCTTGGGGTGGATATCAGCAGATATGGGTTCGGTTCCAGTCTCTGACAAGAACTTACCAGTGCCTTTGGGCAATCCATGTTGTATCTTTCTGTATTTTATTTGTAAAAAGACAGTAATTATGGTTTCCATGCTTTGCTTGTGTTCTTTCCTTAAAACTGAGCCTGGGGATATTTCTTAGTGCTTATTTATAAAGGGCCTAGCATAATGGGATTCAAATATCTGTTGGGGCTTATAAGTAACACAAACATTCATCATAGTGCATAAGATTTATAAATTTAATTTATTTATTTTTTTTAAAGCTACTATGTTCCTTGAACATTGGAAGCGTTTGCAGATGAGATTGAGTTACTTCTGGGATCTAACTGGACTGGAGGAAGAAGAAGTAAGTTTCCTCTCCCTGTGTTAATTTACTGTATAAATTATTCTATATTTGAAGATATGCACTGATATTATGATTTCTCATGAGTGTTCTCCAGCCCAATGCAGTTCATAGTTGTGTTTTTCTAAATTACTATAAACGATACAGTTTTGAATACCAATGTATAATTAAAGAAATAATCACCTATATCTTACTGGTCACCACTCTAATTTTAATAATTAATGTTGAAAAGGATTATAAACTAAGAGCAGATCATTCTTTGCTGAAAATGCCCTTATGCCGTTGTAGTGCAGTAACAGAACGATACAGAATAAATAATTTGTCATATAGATGCTACTTCATTATGTATAATAAAAATTCTCTGTGATGATGACTGTAACATGTCAGGGTAACATAAATGATATTTGCATGATACCTGAACTCTAGGTACTCACCCACAAAGCTGTTGCAAACAACAAATAGGGTCAATTTCTTGAGAACAATTTTTAAGTGCTTTGCAATGAGCCCATCGGGTTTCTAGCTGTACCTGAGTTGACCGAAAAGTGAGACATACATGTTTATTAGTATTTAAAATGTCCCTAAATCTGTTTTTTGTTTTTAATTCTATTCTTAGGCATTGTTTCACGTGTCATAACCTATGGTTTGTTTAAATTACTGGCATTCAACAGAGGATTAATTTCTAGCTCTGGCTAAAGAGAGTGCAGTTACTAGTCATAAATATCATACTAAGAACACGTAGACTTTGGAGCTTCCATTACATATCCCCCAGCAATAGATGCTGACATGGCTCTAGAACAGGGTCATATTCAGTAATTCAGAACAACAGCAATCAGATTCTCTTTTATTGTTAATGATGAGCTGAGTACCTGTATAGAACAATTCAGTGTGCCTTGCTCTCTCTGTTGACTTAATAAAATATGGTCAGTTTCCTGGAAGGTGAGTTGCAGGCCTGCCTTGGTTTGATGGGAGGATTTGAATCCATTTCTTCATGTTCCAGCACAGTTCCCTAAACAACAGACCACATACAAGCCTCCAGCTCTGCTATTTGAGCTGAGCTCGAACAGGACGTAGAGTGCAAATAACCTAGAAGAAGAGTAAGCTGACATCATGAACTTCATGATGTAGCATGGTGATAGTGTTATTCCATTTTTGTCTATTCCTCAGATAAGAATCATTGGGTAAAATGAAAAAAAATAACCCTGAGAACAGACAGCAGACTCCAGTAGTCCTCTTCTTCCATCACAATCCCAAAATACAGCCTTTAGCAATGTCTTTAGAGTAAGGGACACCTCTCATGTATTCCTTCGCTGATTACTACAACCTCCCCTATTTTGCCTCTAGTTTCCCAGCTTTTCACTACTCTATCCAGTTATGACGTGGGCAATGCTCACAGTATAACCCAGTACTTACAGTCTGTAAGCTGTGATGCAAACCAGGTGCATCAGCACATCAGAAATTACTGCTTGTCCTACGTGGAATGTTGTACCGGTGCCTGGGAGAACAGCAATTTTGTACTAATTACAGTACAAACTGAGAGGCTGGAGAGGAAACTGTTGGCTCTGCAGCATACTTGAACCCACCAGATTTTACTGAATTTCAAGTTAATCGTTTGCAGTACAAAATCCTAAGATTTAGCTCAATATTTGCAAAATGCTGTGAAAGAATCTATAGATTTGTGAGGTCCTGTGATGAAGAGCTCTGTAGTGGTAAAAGCTTGTGGACAGGAACTGTGGGATCAGCAAGAATCCTTTGTTTATGACAAGTGAAGGAGTGCCAGACACATCTCAGCACAAGTTGAAGAATTAGGTACATACAATCATAAAAATAAGGCTCGAAGGGACCTTGAGGGGCCATCCATTACACGTTGTAGGATCAACTCTACTTAAATCATTATGAAAAGATGTTTGTCTAATTTTTTCTGAAATAAATCCAGCAGTGGAGATTTCACTTCCTCCCTAGGCAGTCTGTTCTAATACTTGTCTATCCATACTGCTAATAAGCTTTTCCTAGTGTCTAACTTAAATCTCCTTGCTAAATGTTCATATTTTCTTGTTCTTTCTTTCAAGGGTAAAGAGAAAAGATGAACTCTGTCCTCTTTTCAGCAAAATTTAACATAATATCCCTCTGTCACCCATTTTTTTTAAGATGAACTAACCTCTGGCCTTTCAGTCCTTGTTCTTAAATAATTTTCTAGATGTCTGTTTATTCTTGTTCCTTTCTGGACATTTTCTAGTTGATCCAGCTCTTTCTTGAAGAATGATGCTCAAAATGGATGTGTTTCTTGACCGGACTTCTTAAGCAAAATGCCACGCACTGTGTCATCTTCTATCAGAACTTAGTATTTCAGCAAAACCACAAAAGTTAGATCAGGTTTTGTTCACCTTTTATCCATTAGATTCATAAAGTTGAGGATAAATTTGTCTGTGAGACAGATACTGGCACCACGTTTCAGTGGTGGTGAAGTCTTTCCAAGTGTTGAAAATTATGTTGGAAAATGGAAAATTATGTCTGATCAGGTTAGGCCAGAAGGAACTAGAAGTGGAATGCACAAGATCGCTTAACAGAGCAAGAAGAAAAGGGACAAGAAAAAAGTTCAGAAGTTTTAACAGTTTTAAGTCTAGATGGGTTTATTTATTATTATCAATTTCTTTACAAGGGGAAGTTACAGAACCAAAAAAGGGAGGAAAACAACCATAAAAGTTGAAAAGCTGAGATTGTGAGAATTATATTGGAATAAATGCCTTCAGTGTAATTTTTATGGACTCTTGACTATATAATTTTCAGTAAAATTACTTTCTTTAAACACACTGGTCCAAATCTTTTACTTCAAGAGTCACATGAGAGGTTAATTTAGTCCATTTATTTGTAAATATCATGGCAATGGCAGCCTGAGAAAGCAGACTCCCTGAGGCTTGCATTCCTATTTGCAGCTGGCAACTGTACAGACTTTGAGGATTTGCATTTGTACATCTGAAATCTCCAAAAATAATAGGTAGCATTAGGTACTAGACTGTAAAATAGATAATTGCGCCGAAAAGCAATTGAGCAACTGACAACTAAATGGGAGAGGGAAAGAAAAGAAACAAACCCAGACCAGAACTTGAAAACAGAAAAAGTCTTGGAAATACCTTGAATAAACACTCAATGTGTCACGTCACAGATGTGGCTTTGTGTAACCCAATCAAACAAGTTGTGCATTTGTTTGTTTTTCAGATTATGTAATAAGGGATATAGCCAACAACAAAGCAGGGGTAGAGGTGGGAGAATTCATACCCCCTTCTACTTGTGAAGGAGCTGGTGAAGAAATACTGAGGGACTCTAATTAATGATGTGGGGAGTAGAAACTATTGGCCTCCCATGAATCTTCGGAAATTTTATTTCTAGGACCCAGGATGTTCCTGCTTTAGGTTTCCTGGGTGGAAGAGATTTTACCTCATTTTACCAACAATCCTGTGTAAACTGAAATATAAAGGCAATTATAAAACATGATTTATTAGAGTTTGGAGCAGAACTCAGAAGTATAAATGGACAGAAAGTCCACACTAACTGCAACACCAACAAGTGGAAGTCTCGTTATTATTCAAATAGTCATGCTGTTATACTGTTTCAGTAAAACATGGAGGAATGTGGGTGTCTGTCTTCATTAGAAACATGGTTGGTAAGTTACAATTTTAAGTTAAAATCCTGTGCTCTGTAAAATGTTTGCACACTTCTCTTGCAAACTCTAATTCTGTAAGTCTCCTTCCTCCTTTTGCTGTTTGATGTCTTTAAAAAAATGTTATTGAACCATTAAGGGAAGACTTTGAGATACCCTGTTGATTATTGCTGAGTTAAAATAAAGTAATAAGTAAGGTGGAGTGGGTAAGACAGAATTATGTAGCAAGCAGACTTGGTGACATTAAATATGTTTACAGATACATCCCATTCTCTCCTAACTTGATGATGGTTTAACTTGATCTTCTCTACTACATTTTCAAAATTTGTTGTGAATCTTCTGTCACCTGCATTAAATTCCTGTTAACACTAATTGTTTAATGATCCTAGAATAGCCCTAATCTTCTGGACATGTCTTTTCAACATTAGATTGAAGTGTTATGTTTAGGAGGATGAGAGTTTTATTAGGATAGTTGGGGAAGGAATGTTTAAAAAAGGATGTTATCTCTCAGGCCTTAGGGGAAACTATTTAGTACCAGCTGTTCTCCATTAAAAATTACACATGAAGGCACACTTTAAACATGTTTTAATTTGCAAACGATAATAACCAAAGCAGGTGATAATTCCTTTGCTTGCCAAGAACTTGGTGAAGATATATGATAACATTTTTTTCATTCCAAGACTGTCAATCCAGAGATGTGCCACAATATGTTGGAGCTCTGGTTAATTTTACTCTTTTATTTCTCTTCTACCAGACATATCAACGCACTTTCATTTCCTTTCTTCTATTCCTTTTCCATTATAAGGACCTCCTGTGTCCTTTCCAGGACTGAATTGTCTACAGGCCTGAAAGCTGTTTGATTCCTTATAGGTAGACTTGATACTCAGGATGTTGTGATGGGCCACTCAAAGGCTGGGTCACCCGAGGTGGCATGGGTTCTTTCCTCCTGCAGTCCCCTGAGTTCAGAGAGGAGGCTCACATCTTCACGTTCTCTGGTGTAAACACAGAGGTGGGCAGTTGCTTGAGGTGTGAAGCTGTGGTGGAGGAGCTGGAATGGGCTCTTCCAGCCTGTGCAGAACAGCTCTCTACTGTGGTTGTTGTGGTCCAGGGCATGGTCATGGCATGGACAATGGAAAATAGGAGCTACTGGTGGAGGAAAGGTGCAAACAGGGAGGAAAGTCCTGCTTTCCAACAGTTCTCTGCATTGACCTGCAACATCCCATATCTTTATCCAGCACTGCCCCTCTAGGAACAGGGACCACCTCTAGGCCTTTCCTTCTTCCACTTCTCCTTCCCAGTGACCCAGGAGGTATGGGTGCGTAAGCAGGGTTGCTTGCAAAACAGGCAAGATATAGAGTGAGCATAGAGGATCTTGTACTGCAAGGGAGTGTGTGTTCTAAGAAAGATGGGGGTGAGCAGATGGAGAGGGAGCTTCCCCTCTCCCAGAACCTCACAAACCCTGTCTGCCTTTTTCAGGTGCCCTAAAGTCACAGTACTCCCTCTCCCATCTCTCTCATACAAAGGTCTCTTATACACCATTGTTTTTTCTCACGCCCTTCTTTCTTCCCCTCTGTCCTCCTCTGTTGCACCTAAAAAAAATCAGTTTTCCTGTGCACTGCAAGTGTCTTGGGCTGATTCAGTATTAGGTAAGTTGGACACGCTGACAATCTCCAAGATTAACCTGCTATTGGTCCTAACAAGGAGATCAGAATCTGGTCCTATGGCACGCAGTTGATCCAGGAATCTCAGCCCCACATCACTACGTATTCTCTTGTGTGGGGAAATGAGCTTTTTCTATTAAATTTAAAATGCATTTTACATTTACTTGGATGAGTGAATGGAGGCTGCTATTTTTTTAACCTCATCTGCGTATGCAAATAGTGTGGAAACGTGATAAGAAACTCTTATTTTAATGAACTAGAATAAAGGGGCCTAAATGTCATTTATTCTTCTGTAAAGTCTTTTATTGCTGGGTCATTGTTATTTATTCTGTGATTTTTCCCATGAAGTGTCATTGACAAATGAAGATTAATTAAGACTAAAATAGGATGGAAGAAGAAGTAGCTCTTCTGTCAATCTGCACAAAGTACTAAACCCAGTGGAGGTTATTTCTAAAAGTACTTTTGAACTTCGGAAAGGCTTTTAAAATTTAAGATTATTAGGATATTTTTTAATGACAGCCAAAATTGCCAATTGTTTAAAACGAATGTAGAGTTTCAGAACTCATCATATGTCAGCAGAATTCTTTCCTACTTTTTAGTTTTGCTTTAGACTTTGTTTAAATTCCTTCATTTTCACATGCATATGTGGAATGCACATTGTTGCAAACTCATGCCCATAAAAGCTCTCCCACATTACACCTATATCAAATATGTGATTATGTGGTATTGATATGATTGATATATATTTATACATTTACTGATATGATTTCAAATGGCCTTGTAGTGGTGGAGGGGACCAATTAATTAGATAAGTATAACCAGGGCATGGGGCAAGGGAAAAGAAGAATGTGTGGGTTAGGAAGACACTTTCAGCAATGGTGAGCTATTAAATCATCTGTAGCATGCAACTTCATTTATAGATTGCAGCTGCATAGCAGCTTAAGTGAATCTAACTCCACACTATTGTGGTGCTGCTATCCCAGCTTGTTCTTCCTCTTACAAGCACACTGGCAAGCATACAACTGAGTGGGGAACAGTTCAGGCAGCTGATACAGCTGAAGCGTAGCCTGGGATATGAAGAGTAGGAGGTTTTATGCTGGTTATGCCATGCAGCTGCATATGCACTGGTGTCAGTGTGAAGACAGAAATGGAAATATGTGGCTAGTGCAAGGTGAAATTGAGTCTGAGAGTATGGGAGTGAAGGCTTAGATTGGTTTACGCTGCTGTCAGACTCCAGCCACTAAACTCAAGTCTCAAGTATAAAAGCTTTTGACTACAAATTCAACATTTGTGTTTGTTTCAAATAAGTTATTTTCATGAACATTCCTGGTTGTAAATCCAGTCATTGGGATATTTATGGGAAACAATCAAAAGAGGCACTGGTATGGCTGAAACAAATTAATAAAGACTGAACAAATGTTTATGGTCAAAGATAGATTTTTAGTTCAGATTAGCTAAAGTATCTGTATTTCTCCACATTAGAGAGGAGTCAGTACTCTAATCTGTATCGCGGTTCAACTTGAAATGTTCACAAAGGTTTGGAAAGACAGTGGTTGGCCAGAATATACACCTTCTGAAACCAGATAATTCTGGAAATCGTAAAGCTTTTGTTAGCTTGCCTCTGATATATATGCTTTAAGATGTTTTAGGAAGTGTACCTTAAAATTCTATATAGACTTCCATTGCTTTTACCTAGTAAGACAGGTTGCCTGTAAGCCATGGCTTCCAGGTACACAGAGGATGAAAGGAAGAAACATCCAGGAAAATGAAAATTCCAGAAATATCATAAATAGCCAGTGCCGAGAAAATACTATTTCATAAACAAAAATCTGATCTGATACTACCAGGAGGACAGTTTCCTCTGTGGCAGAAAAACTGGTTGTTTATGAGGCATCCTTATTAAAATGGGAGAGACTGATAGAGACTTTGAGATTTGGGATGCTAGAAACATTCTTACATTATATTCACTTATCTGTCTCTGGTAACAGAAAGACAGGGAAATTAATGACACTTGCAGTAGTTCTATCCATGGGATTGATATAAGTACTATGATTATTAAGTACTAAGTTTGATTTAGCATTCAACTTTGACAGCTACTTGTCCACTCAATCATAGATCTAAAATCTATGACCTCTGACTAGCTGCAATAGGATTATTCTATGAAATGTTTGCCTCTTTCATGCATCAGTGATCTTCTCTTTTGAATTTCTCTCTGAGTTTGTTGGGATCACTATGATGCATAGATAGCTTTGGACCAATTACAAGTTCAAGGCACAGTGTCTTATGATTTTCAGCTTACTTAGAAGAAAAATACCTTCTCTTACTTGGCAGAAACTGTTCATTTCTAACTTTGCTAATATGTAGGATATTTTGTCTTGAGACCATAATGTTATGATTTGTGAAACAGCTATTTTAGATCAAATTTAAAGGATTTTTCAGTGTTTATTTTATTTATTTTTGTGAGACCTACAAATCTGTAATCCATCCAATATAGAGTCAGTCTTTAATCTTGACAGAGAAAAATTTCCACAAACAGACTCCCCTAAAGAGTGCCTCCACAGCCAAGTGTTCCCACTGTTACACATTATCAGACAAAAAAAAAAAAAAAAGAGAACAGTGCCCAAAATATCTATGCTTTAAGAACATTTCTTTGGAGAAGACGTTGTATGTTTATGTAATAGCTAAAGCGAGGGTCCTAGTCCATGACTATGACTACTCAATACTACCATAGGACAACTAAAAACAATAAATGTAACAGTGATATGCACAGACATTGTAAATTTTCTAGAGTCTAGGTAATGTTTTATCAAAGTCAGAGCAATAAGGTAAGCTGGAAGGTGTTCCACTGACAAGCTGGGTGACACCCCATTTTAATGGACTATCATCCAACTTTACAGCTGGGTGTCTTGTTTGTCAGCTTATTTGTTTCAGCAATGACTTATTACGCAATAGAATAATTAATTCTAAGCAAAATTTTCAATACCATACTTCAAGGGACATCTGGCTTCACATGATTCCTCTTACTGATGTAGGATCATTTAAGTGGGTTGGATTTGAATTGAATAATGAACAAAAATAAATGATGCTATATTCCGCTACAGTTATCCACAAAATTTGATATCTTGACATTGCAATGGCAGCATTTGGTTGTTTGGTCCTAGCTTAAGGGCACTTAAAAATCTGAGGCCGTATTTCTAAATGAAGTTTTGCAGGTAGTCCTCCAAAGCACTACTACTGTTCTTGCCCAATGGGAATAAACAAAGGCATTATATGATTCTATTTGGCAAATATATTTCAGTTATATACCTTATGGGTTCTTTGCTTTAACTACTTCAGTTTTGTGTTGCTTTAGAATCTCTGAGCTTTGATAGCTGACTTCGTATGTGCTTGCACGGTGACTTTTGTCTTTTGACATCCCTGAACTTGTAATAATGTTAGATGACTTATTCAAGATTTATTTTTTTTCTTTAATTTTACATAAATCAAATTCATTGTGCAAGTGATCTGGACTACAAAGATTGTGAGTATCTACCAGTGATCCCTTAACACGTGCTGAGATATAAAAATACTTTTGCTTGGATGAGCATCCCATTACTAGAACAGTCTAAACAGATCATTGGTGTGAATGGCAATCTCTTCCTTCGACTTCTCACCCCACCCACTGTGTCATCATCATAAGAAACAGAGGGGTTTAGTCCCTGATTTGTAATAACTAATCTTCTTGCAGCAGAGAACAGCTGGGCTGTCTGTTCTGTTCATTCCAAGTTTCCGTTTTGATTTGAGGCAGCAGCTGGGTCATTCCAGTTCTCATTTGTGGAAACCTTGCTTCCTACCAGTGTGCCCTGCTTTGCTGCTCTGCTTGTGCTCAGCATATTAGGATAAGGCTGTTCAATGATTTTGCAGTGTTTCTTTGACAGTCCTTAACATGTAAAAATGAACCAGTAGATTGGTTTATTTTTTCCTGGTAACTCCTTTGGTCTGTTAATCTGGGATATTTTCTTATGTTCTATTTTTTCTTAGCAATCCAGATGTGTTTGTTATGCATGCTTTGTAAAATTCCATTATCACTTTCTTCCTAAATCAAAGAGAAATTAAGGACAGATTTGTTCACGTTATATATTCTTATCCAACTGGATCACTACCTACACAGCCTGCATTTGCAATGTATAGTGGATACACATGTTGTATGTTGAGGCAAGTCCTGGAGACCATTCTCAGGGAAAATTCCCACTGACGTCAATATGAGTTTTGTCTGAGTAAAAATTTCATGATTTGGCTCTTTGTTTTCAGGATGGGAATTATCGTTTTCTTCTCTGAGCACTCATTTGGCCTCAAAGTACCTTGGCTCACATGGTTTTCAATAAGTGTCTGGCAGCTGTACTGGCAAACTTTCAACATCGTGGGATTCATATTTATCCCTACATGGACATTTGGCCTTCTTCAAATCATCACAACTATTTCCAGCTTATTGTCCTAAGTGTAGAACTCTTCCCATTTTCAGACAAAGAATTGATTCTGAATCACACTCTTTACAGCAGAGTGGAATTGTCCCTCACATCTATGTATTTATGATCAGGATCAAGTATCTCTAAATCTGTATGGTAAAAAAATGTTTCATGCAATATACTCATAAAAAGAATATATAGACACATGCATTCCAGGAGGCACTATGCTCTGTTCAGTCAAGGGTAAAATGACTTGGCAGATTCAGTAAAGACAGATCAACTAATTCTCCAATCCAGATGTAGGTGTATGAAATGCTGTTAAAAGGACATTGAAATCTCTTACAAGAAGAACTTAAAATAATTTGACCAAATTTGAACAAAATATGCATTCAAAACAAAACTGTCAATAGCAAAAAAGTAAGTTACAGTACAATGTTTTGCTTGGCATTTTATTTTCTCAAAAAAGCCAATTTTCAAAAGTTTCTCTGATCTCTGGCAGCTGCCCCTGGTGTCCCAGAATGCTTTGCTTAGCAGAAAATAAGAAAAAAAGAAGTGAACCAATCCAGCTTTGCAGGTGCTGCCATAGTGTGATTAGACCTCCTCAGTTTCTTACAGCTTCATTTATCTCATTTCTCTACTTTCATCAAGCTGTCTCCTCTCATGTAGCCATCCATGCCTGATGCCTTCATCCTTGCGCCATTTAAGTCTAAATATGTTTCTTCCATGTGACCTCTGAACCTTATCTAAGGAAGCGTGAGAAAAATTAATGCAAATCAACAAGCCAGTGAGAACCTACAAAACATCTAGATATGTGCATTGACCACAGCATCTTTAAACACTTATTGTTGTATCTTTGTCTTTCTTTTCCCCATTCTCCTCATAACCATTTTTGCTGCTAATGGACTTTATTAATGCCAGAGATTACCTGTGCCTCATTGTTTCTTGGAGTTCCACATACACTCATAGCATGTTGTCAGTAATAACAACACTGACCATTGGGACAAGAAGTACTATAATCACTCCTGAACTTCATTCATTGTGGTATTTATTTTTATGTGAGGCATAAGTAATATAAAAGAACTTGGTGATGCAAAGCGTGTCACACTTGCACCCTTAGAACATGTTCTATTAAATTGAATAGTACATGAAATTACAAGTGTAAGACAAGCTGTAATGCTAGCAGTTTCACTATATTTTTTTGGTATCGCATTGTAGTGTTTAAGCCTCAGAGGCTTAGCCGTACTTGAGCTTTAGAGAAAAAAAAGCTTCCTAAAGCCTCCCAAGTTAGTACCAGACTCCCTAGGAAGAGTAAAATGCATGTACCATTTGTGGGACTTCCTTTAGGGCAGACATGCGTATGACTTGTTCATAAAGTTCAAAAAGATACAAAAATATTCATTTAATGCAGTTATTTAAATGATGTTGTGCTCACATACCTGTTCAATGCATCAGGAAAACCTAATAATCAGGATAAACAATACATTGGAAGTCTCACTGTGTCAGTATACTGGTATGCAACAAAAAATCCTCAAGATGGTGTCTGACATAGTAAAAATGATACAGATAAAAGAAAATGAACAGCACATATCCCTAGAGGAAGACTGCTGAAGTTTCATGAAACCCCTGTTCTATTGTCCATGAGGATTAATTAATTTTTTAAAATTGGCTATCAGATTCATTAAAAAGTGTTAGTAAGTTGATTTTGTGACTGGGCGGAGAAGCATATGCTCTAATTACAGTAAAGATGGATGGTATAACCCATGCGTTAGGAATAGCCTTTTTGTGGGAGGCATCAAATCCAAATTCCAGGCTCTGAATGAATTCAGAACTTGGTGGGAATGACAAAATACATGGCATTTGTCTTTTTTATGAGCTGCTTTGTTTAAAATCCTGGTAAGTTTGTGCTACTATGCTTAATTTATGCTCTAATTTGGAAAAGAAAAATATAATTTGCAAGCAAACCTTGAAAGATTATTGATAGGGGAAACCGGGCCAGATTGGACAGCCCAAGAGAGGTGAGGCAGCCACAGCTCCATATGCCCAGGTCCAACCGGTAGTGAGGCTAAGCATGTATTCCTAGTAGACATAGGTACACAGGGCACACGTATGCACCACATATGTGCATATATTCATGGGCAGCCACACAGATCATACAGACGGACAGACACAGCAGGCACACAAACACAGACAACACAACAGTCTCATCCTGCTCCTCTCGATGGCTGAGCACAATGGAGATGTGATGGTGAGAATATATATATGTAAATATGTACAATGCAGATCCTCCCAGCAGCTGGGCTCAGTCTGCCCAGTAGCTGCCCCTAGGCCCCAGTCAGTGGCACCCAGAGATACAAGCCTGCAATGCTGAAGCCCCTCTCCAGTCGCTCAGTCGCACATATATCCTGCTTCCCCAGAGCTGGCTGGGACTCCTCTGGTCCCCTAGCATCCAGTCCACCGTGGACTTTACTGTGAAGACACACATACACACGCATACTCCAGTGGGTCGCACTCCTAAAGATCCCCAGACCTTGTGTTCCCTGGCAGTTGTCTGGGACTCTCTGGGTCCCTCTGGTAGCCAACTCCACCACCGTCTCACCCTTAAAGATTCACACCTTACTGGCTCCCAGACACTTCACCTACTTGCCAGCTACTCCAATGTGATCTCCACTAGTGCTTACATACTCAGTCTCACACCTGCACTTGCTCCAGTTGCTGGTGGTCAGACTCCCATACAGACCAGCAAACTACATGTGACTGGCCCTTTAGATCCCCTTACCCCTCTATTTTTCCACAGCTGTTCCTCCCCAAGCACCCCATGACTGGTCCTGTGCAATCCCTAAATGCTCTTCCCCTGTATCCCATAATGTATCCCATACCTCTGGTCAGTGATCCCCCTAGTCCAAAAAGTGCTGTGCTGTTGAGTCATCTTGATGGCTTGGATCATGAATAAGTGACATGAACTATTTTTTTTTTTCTTTTCTCTAAATCATAATCACACATTTGGTTGGTTTTTTTTTTTTTTTTCTTTTTCAGGAGCATTCCAGACCAGAGTATGAAACCAAACTGCTGCAGAAAAAGCTGAAACATAAAACCATCACAACAGAAAATTCAGATGAAGTAAGATGCAACTTACTGTTTTCAATCATATTAGATTTATTTTTCGTTACATTGTGATCAACTTTTTGTCTGCCTCTGATGGATAGTTTGCAAAAGGTACTTTTTGGTGCTCTTAATCAGACTTGTCAGTTACTTGCTAGGGGTCTGGTGTTATGCAGTCTTGCAGTGCCATTGAAAGGCTTTGAGATCAGCACTTTGCTAGCTCTACAAAGTAAAGCAATTTGCATAGGAATACGGTTGACAGGTGGTTAAGGATCTAATCTGTAGAGTGATGAATGATAAGCAAGATAGTCATCACAGGAATTCTTATAGCAATGACCTGGAATATTGGAACTTTGTGGACAATAAATAAAACCGCTTTTATTATAGTGATTTCATTTGCATAGGTAACATTGGCATCTTTAGTCGTGTGAAATTTTGATAACATTTCCAATATAAATGGAAAAATAATAATGATATACAATTTTTAGACTGAAGTGTGTTTAGGAATTCTATGGCTATTTCAAACCTCAGAACAAACACTTTTTTCCCCAATGTTCTCCCATTTTGTAAAATGCTGATTGAGGTGTATTTCCTAAGCACTCATAAGTCCCTGTATACTTTGTTCTTTAGGCATGGTTAACCATTACTTACTCCCTGCATGCCATATGTGCCAGCAAAGCCAAAGCATTCCAAAACCATGTCCAGTTTCCAAGTAGAAGGAAACAGTTTAATTTGTTTAAACATTGAGAACCAGTATCTGAAGTGGAGAACACTCTGGTTTTCAAGTTTGGTCCAACAAATTTAGCCTTGCAGCTTATGAGAGAACTTAACTATCCCTTTCTTCTGCTTATCACTGTCAAGATTGTAAAGCTTTTCTAGTGAATCTTTCACGTCAGTGAGACTGCCTTTCCACTGTTGGGCCCAACCAAACTCCGCAGAAGACAATGGAAAGGTTCTCAATTACTTTAATGGGCTTGGATCTTTCCCAATATGAGCAGGGACGCTCACATAACAATATTGGGAGGTCTTCCCTTACACATTAAACAGCTCTCTAGGCCTTCCAAGCAAGGGATCAAAGAGTGCAAAAGACGAATAAAGCTGCTACTGTCATTCAGCTTTTTCTGACTTAAAGTAAGTGAAATCTGGAAACAAGTCAGCGATTGGTGGTGTAGAATATTAGACTTTTGTAGTCATGAGGCAGTGTTAGATGATTGCCTTGCTTAAATGAGACACAGAAATCACAGCATTATAAATTAGAAATTAATTTAAGGTGAAAGAAAGCATTGAAAAATGCTAAGAGCATAGGTGGAAAAATGACGAACAATGTAAAGATCCAGCACTATAAAAACGGGAAGAACTCCTTTCAGACATCAAGAAGGGAAAGGCTTTCCTGGAATATTTTTTCTGCAATTATTTTTTTGTGCCAATGTGGATGGAAAAATAGCACTCAGAAAGAAAATATTTGCTTCAAGTTTCTGGGGTGTCTGCATGCAGAATTTCTCCAATGTCCTTATAGGAGACAAAATCCTATTTTGAAAATTGATGTAGGCATTTTGAATGGTAAAACTCCTGATTTTTAGTAATATTTAATTCTAAAGTAATTTTGAAGAAAATATTTTTGTTCATTGCGTCATTTAAGTATTTTCCAGAAAAGTTTTCCAGAGTCATCTCAATCTCTTTTCTAAACATCATTTAAAAATAAAGTACTTCAACATTTGCCATCAAACAGTTACTCATAGGGAGCAAACAGTTATACGTGTGGCAGAACATTTCGTGTGGGTTGATTAAGGTAAATTTCTAATAAATGTATTCATCCTGCAACTTACTGACTACCATCTCTCCCTAAATTACTGAAATATATTCCAAACTTCAGAGCAGTTTTCCATTAGTCAACATCTTGCTTACTAATTCTGTTGCAATCACTTTTTTGATTTCCTTCAATTTTTTTCCAGCAAACAACATGTTAGTCTGGGTTTGGAAGATATGTTGCTCAGTGGTTTTTACCTCAAAATGTTATGATATTATAAGGGTAAGAAATGTTTGTGTGAGAACTGCTGAAGAAGAAAAAGGCCGGTTCTTTAATTGAACTGTTATGTTTGAGGTAACTGTGGAATTGTACCATTACATTCTGTTTTGGGAGATTCTGAAAAGTTAGACATTAAAAGTGATAAGTATATAAGACTGAAATAGTTCTTCTGCCTAATTTTTAAAGGTTTTAATCTTTTCTTTTTCCTCCTTCGGACGGCTGTATGTTATACTCATTGAAGACCTGCATGGCAGGTTCATATGAAGGCACAGATTTCTGTGAGGTCTCTGGCTCAGTACTTCTGTCTTGTTGGGTGGATGCCAGGGTACAGGACTTTGTCATATTAATAGTGCAGATCTAGTTTCTGGGAAGGCATCAAAGTAGAGGTCTCTCTGTAGTTAGAGTCAGTCCTCCTAATCTCTTGGTTTTGTACGAATACATAGATGCCTGTGAGGTCTCAGTCTCATCATAACTTGGTTGACAGTCTAATGTCATAAGTCTCTGTGAAGTTCTCGCCTGAATATTTTTAGCTAACTAGTGTAATTTAAAGGCATATCTTCTGGGTGTAGCTGGTCAACAACTGTAGTGTGCTGTGTTGATATCAAAGGACAGGCCCTGGCACCACTGACTAAAACTTCTTGTTACTTATCTAATGTGAAGTCAGAAGTCTCCAGTTCAGCAGCTGTGGCTTGTTGGGATAGAAATGATGCCAAAGCTGTGGTTATTATGAGAATACTGATTTAGAGCTTACTTAAAGGCATATATTTCTATAAAATTATTGGCTTGTTTCCAGTATGTTAATTCCTCTGTTCCGGTGAGGATGTGACTAGTTTTATGGCAAGAAACTGAGCTTTTATGTGGAAAGCTCTGTGTACAGTGCCATTTTTTTTTCTTGCTTTACTCCAACAGGGAGTCCCTGTGAAGCTAATTAGGTTATTTTTGCAATGAAGGGATAGACGTTTGGTTATGGGCTGGTTTTGTGATTGCAGAAGAAAATCAACACCACTTACATACGCTCTAATAATAACTTGGGAATACCTGTTAAGAGGATACCTACATCTACATAGTTTTCCCTGTCTGCTGTTGAAGTCATTAACTTTAATGGCTGTGGAAGATGTCCAGCACCTGTCAGGGCCAGTAAACATATGAGTCACTCTACCCAGGCAACAAATTCCAAATCAGCTTGATGAGACTAGTTAAGAGAAAGTATTACAGATTTAATGTATTACTTGCCCAATGGGGTTTGTGTTATAGAATATAGCTTTCATACAAATACCACTTAGGGTATATATGCCACTGTAATAAGCAAAGAACAAAATTTCAGCATACACCACCTTGTGTGGTTCAGGCTGTTTTAATAAATATTTTATTGCTTATTTTGAGAGTGGGAAAGAAACTGTGAGGACTCAGTGCACTTCACAAAAGATTAGTGTGAAATTACTCTTACAATAACACCCTAAGGCTCTACTGTATCAGAAGAGAATTCATTTAAAGCTGAAGAGCTGAAAAATTTACATGAAATACCTCAGTTTAGGTAGCAAATGCATAAACAGACAGTCCTTATGAATTATGACATTCATTTTAAAAAAAATGACAAATTCTAAGGTACTGATTCTGGAAACCTGCAATGATCTGTCTTATAATCAGTAACACTATTTGATTCTTTGGGGTCACAGAAGTAAAGGCTTGCAATGCAGAGCTTCTTGATTCATTAAAAGGCTTCTTTGTCCTTGTTGTAGAAATGAAGGCTTATGTGTACATGCATGAATGCATTTGTCTGATAATACATTAATGCAAATATGGCAGATGTAATTTTTGTAATAAAGCAATTCATATTATTTTTTTGTTGTTCTTATGTAATACACTACAACATTGAATATGTGGATAGAAATATTTAACAAATAGGGTAAAGTTACTGTATCTGCAGAATGTTAACTAAAGAAGGTGTTGGATATTTGTAATCTTCTGATATGTGGTTCCTCTCTCTGTGCAATAGTAACATTCTCAATGGAAATACACGTGGGTCAGGAAATGAAATTGGTCTTGTGCCTGAAAACATGCAGATGGGGCTAGATCCAGCTCTCACTGGAGCTGATGGAAAGAAAGCCTTCCAGTCATTTCTGGGAGGGATGGATCAGTCCCTGATTCCTTTTCATTAAAAGTCCAGCTGATCCGGCAAATATGATGCAACATCACATATACTCTTATCTGTCCTACTTGACAGGAAACCAAATAACTCATTCTACATATTTCTCAAGGAAAATTTTCTTTATAGAAAAAAAGGGCTTGTCTCTTGGCTCATGTCCTTACTTGGAGCAAACCCTGGGAATAATAGAATCTGGCATTCTATCTTACCTTTAATTAATTTTAATTATGAAAGTGGCAGAATAAGTTATTTAAATTGTTAATTCAGGTGGTAATTGGAAAAAAAACCTTATTTCTGAACCATTGCTTCAGTTAACAACTTAATTAAAGCAAACGTGTTTGAAGAGGAAGGTCTCTAGTGTAAGGATGATACAGATAAATATAAAGTAGAATTGTACATTGCTGCTGAATACTTTATATATATATTTTAAAAATTTCAGCACTGCAAAACACGAAATAGTAATTCTTGCTACTAGTTTGTTCCTTATGCAGTTTTGCATAAGCAAATCTCCCATAAGGCCTAAGAAACACTTCAGATATTAGAGCCTACATCTTTATTGAGCAAGTCCTTGATAAGATTAACTAAAGAAAAAACACCCCTTTTTATATTAGCTTTAACTCTGTAGAAGAAACCAAGAAAATTGGTCATAAATGCTAATTTGTACAATCAGAACAGTAAAAGAACCTAAAGTTCCTTAATAATTAATATTGAGAAAATACTTTGTTAGAATTTATTGGACCTTATTATTAATGTGATTAAAACACCATTTTTAATTCAGTATTTCTTAAATTGCCCAGTGTCTTTCCAGCTTTTTTCACTGCTTTACTTCGACAAATAACTTCACTT